AGCTTAAAACTCCTTAAAAATGAGAGAGTTCCTGAAAGGAAAAAATTTATGTAACCACAAATGACACAGCATCAAGAGAAAAATACAGAGACTTCTACATAATTCCTATGAGAAAGGAATCATTTTAAGTAATAAAATATATCAAGCTGAAGAAAACTGTCTTGAAATATGAATATATTGGTAAACCTGAACTCAATGCTTCCACACAAAAAATGTGCTCTAAAAGAACACAAATTCAAATTAATATTTAATCTTAAAATCTAAATGAACAATCATGAAATAACAGAAGTAATTAAACTATAGTCATGTTGAGGAGTGGTTTGCAGTTGCTAAAATGTCCTGAAACCATCTCTCTGCCATTAGACCATGTTAAGTGAAGTAAAATGGAACTAGGATATAGTCCTTGTGATCTGAACTATTTTATTAAATTTGTATTTGTATGTGAGTCTGAAAAAAATTTACCAAAATGTTATTAGAAATGATTCTGAGTGGTGAAACTGTGGGCTTACCTTACATGTTGCCTGGATTAAAAACTCAAGCATTTGTTATAATGAACATGACACTATTATAAATTTTTAAAATAACTCTAAGAACCTGTATGAGAATTTTTTTGTGATATGTAAGAAGATATGTCTTACATTATCTCTAAGTTTCCAGATGACATCAAATATTTTGTGGACACATTTTTACATTATTTGTAATTGAGTCATTAAGACCAGTCATGGAAGACACAGCTGAACTGTCTGAAGCCAAGCAGTCAGGCAGCTCATTTATACAAGAACACCAAGATGAAGCAGTCAGTGTCAGAAAAGGACGTGAGGATTCCTGACACCATCAATCATGACATTTCCTCCAGCTAAGAAATAGTTTGTGGTTGTTTTATTTTAAGTTATGGTTAAGTCTCAAAGACTTCCAAAACTTTAAGTGCATATGTGCATTGAGAGCTAAGAACACCTGCCACCCCCATTCTTAAGTCTCTCCTGTTGAATCCTGCTGTCTTTCCCTTTTAGTATGTTTCTGGACTTGGGTCTTCTGGGGATCAATTAGAATAAGAATAAGCCAA